TAGTCACCTTTTGTTTTCATTTTGCAACCACCCTCCTGGAGTTTCACCCCAGCACCAGGAAATTGAAGAAGAGAAAGACAAGTGACGCATCAAGCCTTAGGCTGGAAGATGCCTCCACAGTTTTTATTTTCTTTCCGCCTGAAGCGACAGAAAGAGGCAGGGCATTGATCCATTCCAGCTGCGATCCACTTCCCAGAATGGACAACCAACCCCGGGGAAATGTTCAGCCGCCTGCAGTTTGGGAAGTCTAAGGTCCATTAAGGTGGAGTAGGCTTAATGTTAAGAGACAGAACAGACTGGCTAAGGAAGCATTTGTGCATGCATAGCGAACATAGATCATTGGGATCTGAGGGGGGATCCTCACTGGGTCCTTGTCCTTCGCCTCTTTTAAAAAGCGGAGACCTTTTCTGGCTCCCACGGTCGCGCGCGGGCCACGCCTGCTTCACTTTCCCCAGCCAAATGCCCAACCCTGTAAGCCGCAAAGTCCCGTAAGCTTCCACTTTCGTTGGGGACCGACTGAGGCAGTCCACCCGATCCGTGCACTTCGCGGAACTCTTTCCCACTCCTCCAGGGGAGAAAAGGCGGGACCGGGGAGCTCACCTCGAAGTTTCTGGGGCTGGAGATAGGCTTGCAAAGCGCGGGATCCTGACACGGGCACACGCCGGCAACCAACCGCAAGTGCAGGGCGAAGACGATCGCGGTCAAGAGACGCGCGTCTCCGGCCCCTCCCGAGCTCTTCATGGCCAGGGCGCGCCGGTTCGGCTCGGCTTCTCTAACAGCGTCCCCCACGCACGTTCCTCTGCCCTGCGCCTTGGTCGCACTGTCTCAGGCTGGGGAAGAACCTGTTTGGCTGCCGGCTGACTAGGAAGCTGGGGAACTGTCGCTCCTCAGAGAAGGAAGAGATCTGGGTTGTTGGAAAGTAGGGGCTGTGAGCGCCCCCTATCGTCGATCGAAGCGTCAGTCATCGTGGTTAGTGCTGATGGCTGTCTTTCATCCAGTATATGGGGGGTGGGTGGGGGGACGATGAGTCACAAAGGAAATAGATACTTCCCCATTTTTTTAAAAAAAGAATATTCTTGAAGTCACAAATTTTGCTTGTTTCAAGCTAAGCCGTATTCTCTGCATTTCACACATATACATGCATACACCCCTGGTGGAAAAACTATAAATTCTTCTTATTTTTTTCGTTTTGGCTAGAACCCCAATAAAATAATTTCTCCCTACCTTGTCAGAAGTTTGCCTTGCTGCATAAAAGGAAACTGGAGTCCGTCATCAATGCATCTGTTTGTTTCAATCGGCTTGGGGAGAAAAGAAGATGTTAAAATGCAAAATCCATAGTTTATAATCTTCCCAAAACTTTTCATTTGTGTTACATAATTTTCCAGTGATATTTGCATTCACAAAGGAGAAAGAGATTGGCCAATTGGAATTCTTGCAGTCTGGTGAGGCAATGAAATCTTGTTTTAAGAAACTAAATGTATAAAGGGTGTGTCTTATTCCCAAGTAACTGTTAAATAAGATAGCATGTCATTGTGATTTCTGTCATTTATACAATAACATTATCCAAGTGATTTGTATCATTTGATCAACTTTTGATATTTGGATCTATTATGTTCAAAATTTGAGGTATGCTAAAATGAAGTTTCACTATACTAAGTACCAGTGCAAGTGCAATTAGATCCATCCCTTCAGTGGTCCACAGATCATTTTTGCATGACATAGTGCTCCAGTATGATGCTGGTACTTCAATTGTGGAGCAGTGTTTTCTAAATTTATGAATCAATTTTTTTTTCTGATGTAATTGACATATTTGTAGTGTTATATCTGGCAGATATCCTGATTTGTTCAGAGGATGAGAAATTATATAAATCATCATGTATGAGATGTCTTGCGCAGACCATTGGAAAATCACCTACTTGCTAAGCTGGAGAAATGTACATTTGACTTAAAGCAGGTGGGCTTTTTTGGGTGATCACATTTCCACAGATGGGATCCAGATGGATCCCCAGAAGGTGCACAGAGTACTTTCCTGGCAACCCCCTATCATGCAAAGGAGGTTTAATGTTTACTAGGCTTTGCTAACTTTTATAGGTAGTTCATTCCTAACTTTGCACGCAAATTAAGCTTCTCAACTCAATTGCTAAAACGGAAAGAGAAATTTGCTTGGATAGAAATAGAATAATCTTCATTTGAAAAGTTAAAGAGCAATAGCACTTCAATGTATATACTACCCCACAATACTTTACAGCAGGGCTCTCCAACCTTGGCAATTTTAAGACTTGTGAACTTGAACTTCCAGAATTCCTCAGCCAAGAAAGCTGGCTGAAGAATTCTGGAAGTCGAAGGCCACAAGTTGCCAAGGTTGGAGACCTCCTGCTTTACAGCACTCTCTGGGCAGTTTACAATGTCAGCATAGTGCCTCCAACAATCAATCTTCATTTTACTGACCTTGGAAGGATGGAAGACTAAGTCAACCATGAGCCCCATCAGGATCCAACTCCAGACTATAGGCAGAGTTTTCCTGCAATACTGCATTCTAATCACTGCACCACCAACAGTTCTTTACCAAAAGAGTTCTTTACCAAACAGCCCCTTCTCCAAGACCCAGGCTCATCAAAGAGATTTATTGACCAGACATAAGCCTCAGACGTGGCTTTAGGAGCTGAACCATTGCAGGAGGTGTCCTTGAATTCTTGCACAGTTGCAAAAAAAAAAAAAAGATTCAGAGCTGTATAACATTCCTATATAATAGGCAGGATATAATAAAGTAGTCAGCTTGAACATATGTAGGCCAGGTTCATCGAATCTAGATCTGCCTGACAAATGTAGCTCTTTCCATTGTTCTTCCTCTCAGGAAATGATGACCTCTGCAAAGCCCAAGAGGCCAAACTCCAGCTCAGTTGGTAACAGCAGCAGTGAGTGAAAAGTTCCTCACCAGCTGCTCCTTCATTCCCATTGCTTCTGAGGATGCTTGCCTCCAGTCTCGCTACAATCAACTCTAGATAGTTATGTTCACATGCTGCCATCTGGGTTTGATATTTGAAATTATTTATAACTGATTTAGCTGCGGAGCATTGTAAATTGCACAGAAACACCCTTCCTATTGGCAGCAGTAAAGGTCTGTTTTCCTATAGTCAGAAAATCTTGCCTAATCCTCCCTGCTCTTCTCACCCATGCCCTTATCCCAGTTCTTGGGCTTTGGCTGATGTCGCATTCACTTCATAGATGCTTAAAGAAAAAGAGTAACCTTCACACAATCAGACAAATGCAAACCTGCTCATTCTACTTTAAGGCATAGGGTTAATTTTTATATCCTTCTAACCAGGGCATGAAGATAGCTTGTTGACTTTTTAAAAGAGAAATCTCATCACCTCTAAGTCATTTGCAGCCTGATATAGAGGTAGCATACCTGGTCTGCTGTTAAAAAGGAATTGTCTTTTCCCAATGCAAATATTGTCATACTATCTATTTACAGTATGTCACTTGTGATCTACTTGGATCCCAATGGCCACTTTAAGCTCCTGTGGGCATATTTCTTTTCTTTTGATCATGTAGCTGTGCCTACTATGACCAATTTGGTTTGGGTTATGAGACCAGACAGTTTGCTCATACACAGGCATCTGTTCAAGTAATGCCACACTTATTTAATTATCTGGATTCCTTATTTCCAACAATGGACCAATCTGTAGAAGTATTGGTCTTTTAGGTAGGATGATGAAGCAACAGGAGCCTCTGTCAATACATCTTCTGTTATTCAGGGTGGATGGAGCCCCTTGCTAGAGGTGTTTGGAATGTGTCTTTCGGGCAGGTTTGGGTGGGTTCCCTATCTGGTTATCTCTTTTGTATTGTGCTTTTATCTTTGGTTGTATTGTAAAATACCAGGGAGACATGAAGCTTTCAAGAAGAGACTGGACTGACATCTGTCATAAATGGTGTAGGGTCCCCTGATTGAGCAGTGGGTTGGACTAGATGACCTACAAGATTCCTTCCAACTCTGTTATTCTGTTATCTGCAAATTCACTCCATTCTGCTGAACTATTAGAGGCAGTATTTGTCCCTCCAGATGACAACCATTTTGTTATGGGTACTGATAAGCACTACTGAGAAATGGTCTACCTAAAAATGGCTCTTTTGCTCCCATTCCACATACCATTGTCTACTAAATATAGAAGAATACCTCTGGATTGGAGTAATAATCTCATTAGATTATGGGGCCAGGACTACAGTGGAGAATATGGATCTCATTAGAGTGCATTAATTTCAAGAAAGGTAAATGGTCACTGGCTCAGTTTCTACTCCATTAAAAATGCTATCTCCACCATTTACCCTACTTTGAAACTGCCATTGTCATCTCTGCTCAAATATGGGCTATTGAATGATCAGATTTGTATATGAAAACATCATCACACGCACATATATGCACACAAGAACTTAAGTTTTTTTTCACTTTTACTGATTCTGGATAGGATGCACACATTACTGTATTACTTCATGCCATTGAAGACTTGATTTTTCAATCTGTGATTTTAAAACAAAAGAAAGAAATTCTGGTAATTGGAAAGAGGGTTTTAAATCAAGAAATAGTTTAGTTTGGAATAGCAAGGGTATGTGGACGAGTTAACAAAATCTATTAACTTGTATTATGTAGCATTTATGGGCATTAGCAGATCTTTGTAATTATAACTGAAGGTAGTTCAGTCTGCTGATCTTACTCCAAATAATTTAACTCCATAAATCTGAATATTAATCTTTCTCTGTAACATATATAGCTTGTGAGAAGTTTACCATATAGTATTTCTCAATGATGTGAGAAATCTATATTTTTCACTGAGTAGGAAAGTATTTATTTAAAACAGAAATTCCTAATGAAAAATTCTAACAGTAACTTATAATTAAAAAAAAACACCATTTCCTATTATCCAAATGACCAATCATTTTTGCTCTACCAAATGCAACCTTTTATTAAACTTTGCTAATGAAATAAAGAAGCCACCACTTCATTTTTTTTCTTTTGGAATGCAAGTATTTATTAGAAAATTATCCATTACATTTAGAGTTGACTTTGTTATATTGGAATAAGGCTTAGAGTTACTTTAGGAAGAATTGGATTCTTTAAAAGGGTACAGTAGGGTTCTTAAAATAATTTAATTAACAACTGTGTAGTAGCCTAGAATTGACATATCAGCCCACACAGCAAACAAGAGAATATGCACTGAGTCTGCTCAGTTGAAGGCTCATGCAGCACATTGTTCCTGTTCACAAGAACATGATGTGTGAGATTCAACTAGGTCTATCATATCGTCAGACTTTTCAGCCAGCACGGTCAGGTCAGAAGGCAAGGTTGATCCTGAAAGAAGAGGAAAAAGAGTAAAATCATTAAAAGAAGCAACATGGCACGAGGCAAAGAACGTTTTTCTGCAAGGCCAAAGAAAACTCCCTCATTACCATTAAGGCCTACTCCAGTCTTGCCCAGAATAACTTTCCCCAAGCTACTATTGTGTTGGAAAAGTTGAGAAAGGGACTTGCAGTTGTGACTACAGCAGGGAAAGGGGATAATTTTTTCCCAGTCTCACTTTCAATAATCCAGTCTCACTTTCAATAATCCAAACTCAGCTTCCTCAGATATGCACATTCACTGAATTTATGCAAGCAAATAGTCAAATCTAATTTGACCCAGTCCTTTATGCCAAGATAATGAGATCACTTAGAACACCAGAGTATTTCCCTTATTCAGTTTTCAAGCCTGTTCATAGTAAATATGAGATATTTCTAAATACTTATGTGTTGAGACTAGGATACCTTTTCACTGTAGGTAACAGTCAAGCCCTCTTTAAACCAATTATTAAGACAAAATATTTAAAACAATAAGATTCTTTTAAAGTTTTACTGCTTTTGTACAGCTCAGGACACCTTTTTTTAAGGTTCTTTCTTCACATAGAAGCAACAGTGGGAAGAGGAAAATCCACTATTGAGCAAAATGTTTACAGTATTCTGAATGACCCCATAAAATCAAGCTCTTTGGTGCTCCCCTCTAAAAACAAGATATTTGAAAACCAAGAGATTGCAGAAAATTATTAGAAAATATTCTTAAGTGAATCATCTAGTGTGCCTGCCCCATATCTAACATTTACATTACACATTATAAGAATATCCAAAATAAGTAAATATTACATACCAGTTGGCACACAATGGAAGCTAGCTAAGGTTTGGGTAGTACTGGTGGCTGAGCAGCCTTCAGCACAGCGTGCGACAGGAAGATTGGTAGCACACTGTTCCATTAGGATTGGATTCTCATGTCTCACTGTTGTGTGTCGCAGTTTACAGTCTACAAGAGAACAAGATAGATTTATCAAAAGGACAGCTCTACAGCTTCATTTTCCAAAGTAGCATTTATGAAAGCATCATGTTCATGCTTACTAGCTTTGAAGGTATGTGATTTGAAATAATTTATTCCAAACAATATATTCTACAGGTATACAATAATCAACTTTGGGGCAATACTAATTCCTAGCAGCCATAGGCTACTCTTCTTTGAGCCATTGTAGGAAATTAAAGTGATGGTTTAATCCAGTTGCTTACAGTGATGTCAAAGTGCTGAGCAGAGCAAGGAAAAACCTGGAGCAGATTGTTGGTGACTATTAAAGCAAGCCATCAGATTCTGCTTACCTCCACCACATTTATCAGGGACCACCCAGGACTGCACAAAGCTCACTTCATCTCTAGCTATGTGGCCACTTGGTCTCCGTAACGCTTTTGCTTCTGAGCCATACCATCCACAGATACCACATGAATTTTCTATCGAGGGATTAACTTCAAACTTCACAAAAAGAGGGGGGGGGGAATAGATTTTTGTTTACAACAAGCATTGAAAGAAATGAAACATCATAAATACATTCGGAAACAACAAAACAGAGTGCGTTTCAAATTGTTTTTGCTCATTTCCCACCCCCTCCAGAAATTTAAACAGGATTCCTCAGACCAATTTATCTCAAAATCTTATGTGATTCAAGTGCTGTTCTCCTAAGCGCATCAAGAACTTAATTAATCTCTAAAGGAGCAAGAATCATTCCTGTATTTGCTTATCACTTAACATTCTACAATTTTAAATATTTTGTAATAATGACAGTAATATATAATAAAAATACCTTGACATTATATCCTGTGTATAGCACATTTTCTAATCCAACTAAGGGCATTCTAAAGTCCAGTTCACTTTTTGTTTCCTTGAATTGAAGAGGCACATCTGTAAGTTTTAAAAGTGAAATGAAAGTTCAATTAATGATTCCACCAAGAGGGATAGTAGATGGAATTCCCCTGAAATAAAATTTGTTCAGGGAGTATGCTTTGTTTCTTTTCCCATTTCCATCTAAACATTCCTGATCTTCAAACTACCCATGTTGGTTCCTTCTAATATATTTTAGATTCAGGAAATATAAACATTTCTATATGGAGAATGCATAATTGAAGGACTACTTCTAAATCCAGAATCAGTCAATACTTCTTTTTAAATTCATTTTTCTCCTCGATTTATACTGTATCATTATTTTCTATTTCTTGGCAATAAACTTAGTTTCTTTGATATTTTTTTTAGTAAACTCTTCAGTTGTTTCATTAACTCATGACTAAGATTATTTTCTTTACGTACGTTTCAGTGAACGAGGGATAACTCCATCCTGTAACCTAGTGCCATTTACTTCTAGAATGAGCTCACCATCGCGCTGCTTCATGGTACATATACTTATAGAAACAGAAAATGTAAAAGAGAGTTAGTCTACTGAATTCAAAATTCATGAGTTTTTGCTCAATATGTTTACAATAATGAGTTCATTAACACTGAGCGTTATTTTATTCTCTTATGCAAGTTTATTTTATCAGGCATAAAAAGACATACCATTTAAAATAGCCAGTTTTAATAGGTATCCCAATATCTAAAATCCTAATTACTGGCTGAAAAATGCTGGTTGCTTGGAGGTAACAGAATTTTCGTCTACTGTATAAGCAAAGCACAGGATATCCTGCTTCATAGCTCCTGATAAACCCAAACTTGAAACACTCATTTATTTATTTTTCGCATTTCTGAATCATCCATTTCCTTCAAAGATGGACTCTTAATTCAGAAGCCAAGAGAAAAATCTGACATTTTTCTAACACAAGAGACTCTTCTGGTTATTCTTGTTTTCCAGTAACACAAGTGCTTTCTAATATATACCTGCTGTTGTTATTATTGTTGTGCAGCCTTATTATTATCCTCATCCTTCCTATACATGATTTATTCTGCTGTTGAGATTCCATTTTTATTGCAGTTGTTATAGTTGTTGCTTTGACTTAGTTATATTTAATTTGCTCAGATTTTGAATAAAATTATGTAAGTTTTCAAAAAATGTACAAAATTTATAATAGAACAGCTCTTTTCTAATAATTTTGGCAATTACGTTTTCTCTCATGAGTTCAGGCTAGATTATTCAAAATGCATTGGAAATTACTTACATGTCCTGTGTATGGATTTCAACTAGAAGACTATTATTGTGTGCTGTTTCGTATTTCATCAGTACAATCAGCTTCTTGTGACAAGTACAATCACCCAGTACATTTATGAAACAATCATCAGGCAATCCTTTTGTAATGAGTTTTTTGTTGAAATTTAAAATTCTTCTGCTTTCTACCGTACAAATACCTGATAACAGCAAGTAAGAATGTGGTGAGAGAAGAAAGAAGCTTCTAATATTTTGACTATTTAGAGAAGCAGCTAATAAATTGTATTTTAGAACTTTGAGAAAATAACTTTATATTTGTTGTCACAGAAATCTAATGTAGAAATCTGTAGATATTTTTAAAGGGAGATTTATGTTCAGTTCATTTTAATATTTTCTTTGCATCATCACGAGTCACGTTGGAATAAGTGATGAATTTTTAGACGGTCTTGGTTTTAAATTGTCTGTGAAATGATATATAAAATGATTACTCCACTTTGGTTATGAAAAAGGAATAGTCTTATATACATATTATACATATACATTTTATTTGGGCTAAAATAAAAATTAAATCCAAAGTTGCTATAGCTTTCTCTACATATTCAAATGAATTTAAATAAAACAAATTAATTTTATGATATAATATATATTTTAAACAGCTGAAGTAGAGGAAGGAAACCTGTGAACCTTCAAATGGTGTTGAATTTCATCAGCTCAGATTACTGATCATTTGGCAGGGAATTATGGGAACTGATATTCAACATCATTGAAAGGACCACAAGATTGTCCAGAAATTATAAGTACATAGTAAAACTGCTGACCATTCTGACTAGCAAAAAGCAATTTTGGAATATCAGCGATTGTTGAAGTTTTGGCTTTGGGATCCATTGGCACTGAATATGGAAGTTTGCAGTTGTCATTGTAGAGGAGATCCTGGAAAGAAATATG